TTTTATTACTGAAAACTTTTTTCAATTATCTACAGCCCGTATAGTGAGTGATAGCCATATATTTAATATCACAATGGTGGTTAATAGTCTGTTTATTGCACAATTAATTGTTCCTCAATCATAATAGGATGTGAGAACTTTTCAGGCTTTATGGTCTCCTCTCTAAAGGTTTTCAAAATTGGCACCAAGTGCTAAGGTTTATATAAACTTATTCTAACTGTAGTCTTGTGCCTTGGTTTTCCATGCACCGTACCCTACGTAAGTTTTACGGACAAAATAGAAGGCATGATAATTCATCGATATGATGATGTAAAAATGGGATCCTATGTATTTTTTAAATGTTCTGAAAATTTTATCACTGTTAAGACATTAATCATTCAGTATTATTAATGGAATAGAAATTCATACTTTTGTATGGACAGAGATCAAATTGATATTGCATTTGTAATACTGCCAAGAAACTTTCATTCGCGCAACTTTATAGAAGATGGGTGTTTTCTTTTCAGTCGCCATATTGGATCAGTCATTGAAAATCGGCACCAGTGCTGTTTCTTCACCTGTGTATGTGAAAACTGACAGACACACACCGTTCTAAACTGTGAGGGTGCCCAGGAAAAAGAAAATAGGAATACTTTAAACATTTTAAAAACTTTTTTTTTTGGGTTTGCCAAGGACTCAGGAAAATTAAAGCATTTTCTATTGTTAGGATAAATCATAAATGAAATATCTAACTGGCTGTTACTGTTTACCCACATCAAATATGCTGCGAAAGTACATAATATTTTACCCTCAATGACTTGACAAAAGTTTTTAAAAAAAATTTGGACCCAAGAAGTCTTCTAAGGAAAATGTCATCTGACACATATTTCCTTATTTTGTCATGAATCCTTGCAGCCCTGTATAGGAAGACTATTTCCACTTAACAATGAAAAGCAAAAAGGGAACGCTCTTTTGCAACAAGAAAGTGAGTTTCTTTTTGTGCTAGAGTAACCCTGTCTAGTACATTTCTCCACATTTTAGCGCAAGCCACAGCCCCTCCAGCGTCTCTCTCTTCTGGGGTCTCTCTCCTCTGGGGTCTCTCAGGAGGAAGAGTCAGCACATGTGACACCTGGGAAGACGGGCACAGAGGACACCAGCTGGACTCAGGTCGAGGGTGTGACTGAGCGGGTGATGCTTGGCTGTCCACTGACTCGCTCGGTGCTTCTGATGCTGCCCGCCCCATGTCATGAGCTCCTGCAGGGGCCCTCCACCCTGGCTACTTGTTGCAGTCACCTGGGGGGTTCAAAAAGCTACTGATGCCTGGGCTGCCCCCCAGACCAATTAAGTCAGAGCTCTGGGAGGTGGGACACAGGCATCCGTACACATCAAGGGCCCCCGGGTGATTCACATGCCGCGAGGTTGTGAGCCACCAAGCTACAACGCTACAACGTACTCTTATCACCAAAGTTTAAATGAGAATCAGCTTCCCTGTTCTTTCCTTTACCAGAAATTTGCAATAAAAAGCATAAAATTTCCAAATAAATGTGGTGTATGATTTTTAAATGTAAAAGTCTTTTAGTGTGAGGCGAACATTTAATTAGGTAAAATGCCGTAGGAAATTCTCCTCTTACCTTTCTGTGGAAACCCTTTGGTGGTTGAAAGAAAGTGTCTGAGTCCTGGCAGCCCTGCTGGGAACTGGGACGTCAGGAGGAGCTGCCCCATCTCCAGGTCTCCGAGGCTGCGTGGGACTTCTCTCCTCTGGAATTACGGCACTGGAATTTCCTAGTGTGTCGTGCACCCCTCGCTATGACCTTGGTGTGTGTTAACTCATTTCACTGTAACAACAACGAGTTAAGTACTATTCGTTTCCCCTTTTTCCAGATGAGAAAACTGACTCACCTAAAGGTTAAGCAACCTACCCCAAATTTCTGAGACAGAAGAAGAGTTGAGCCTCCAGGAAGAGATCAGTAGACAGGACCAGAATGGGGACAGTCCCTGAATGTGGGGCAGGGCTGGGCGGATCCTCAAGCTAGTTAGTCTCATAACTGGAGCTGCCTGGGATGAGGCGCGTCCACTGGAGGAGCCCCACGTTGAGAGAGGTGGGATGGGTGGGATCAGAGCCAGGGAAAGGACAACTCCACTTCAGGAGGGGTAAAGTCTGACATGGAGGCTGAGGGTGCAGAGCCCCGAGTTCAAGGTGGGAAATGAGATCCAGACCAGGTAGGGCCAGGCCCAAATGGGCAGCTGGCATTTGAGACTTGTTTGTATAGACTGGAAGAGTTAGTGTGTGGCTGGGCTGGACTGACAGAAGGTGTGCACTGTGTGCAGACAATCGTCAGCTCTGTAATAAGGAAAAACCCACAGGTAAATTCAGGATCCCCCTGAATAGTGGCATTAACTATATAGAATTACACTTACGGTAATGTGTAGTGGATTATATTTCTCAATCTGGGTTTTGGGTTCAGTTAATCTCAAGAACGTTTTTTTGTCATCCACATAAATCCAGAATTAAAGGACTTTTCTAGGTATCTGTTTATATAGATGCCTGCACTGCAGACCCACCTATTAGCATTAAGATTCTGGCTGTGGTAAGCAGTCTCAAAAATGTCTTCTAATGATCCCCACCTCCTAGAATTCACCCCCTTGTGCAATCCCCTCCCCTGGATTGTGGGCTGGACTTGTTAATGTACTTCTCATGAATCAAAGATGGCAGAAGTGATGGCTAATTACTTCTGAGATTAGGTTATAAAAGGACTGCGGCTTTCTTCTCTCTCCCTCTCTCTCTCATCACATGTGCTGGGAGAGATAAGCTGTCGTGTTGTAAGCAGCCTTATGGAGAGGGCCATGTGGTATGGCAAGAGTTGAACTGAAGCCCTCAGTCCAATAGCCTGAAATGAACTGACACTTGGCAACAATCAAGTGAGTGACCTTAGAAGTGAATCCCCCTACCCAAAAGAAGTGAAAGCAGGAAGTCAGATTGTTGTACACCCATGTTCATAGCAGCATTATTCACAACAACCAAAATGTGGAAGCAGCCTAAGTGTCCATTGATGAAAGAATGGATAAGCAAAATATACATACAATGGAATACTATTCAGCCCTAAAGGAAATTTTGACACATACTACAAGATGGACACTATGCTAAGTGAAATAAGCCAGTCACAAAAAGACAAATATTGTATGACTCCACTTGTATGAGGTACCTAGAATAGTCAAATTCATAGAGACTGAGAGTAACATGATAGTTGCTAGGGGCTGGGGGGTGAGGTGGGAATGGGGAGTCAATATCTAAGGGGTACAAAGTTTCAGTTGGAGAAGATGAAAAAGTTCTAGAGGTGGATGGAGGTGATGGTTGCACAAAAATGTGAATGTGCTTAATGCCACAGAGCTCTACACTTAAACATGGTTAAAATAGTAAATTTTATGTATATCTTACCACAATAAAAAAATAAAAAAAGAACAAGAAGAAATGGGTTCCCCAATGCCCCAGTCGAACCTTCAGATGAGACTGCAGCTCTGGCAGCTTTACTACAACCTCATGAGAGACGATGAGCCAGAGACACCAGCTAAGCTGCACCCTTATTTCTGACCCACAGAAACTGTGAGATAATTAGTTCCTGTTGTTTTAAGTCACTACATTTGGGGGATAATTTGTTATATGCAGCAATAGATAACTAATACACTGGCACTGGGGAATCTTGACAGAATTATTTTGTGGAAATTCTTATTTCTTTTGCTTCAAATTACATGCTCACGTATATAATCCCATTTAATACACTTTCTGAGCAGGAAATAACCAGAACAACATGTTGAATGACATATATACCCTATCTCATATAATCTTTGTAATTACCCTGTTTGCTGTGTACTATTATTTCCATTTTGTGATGGGGCAGAAGAAGGAACGTCGTATAGCTAATTAATGGAGGAGCAGGGTTTCAAGTCCATATCCATTTGTCTCCAAAACTCAGGCTGACATTTAGTTTCAAGATAAGCCAACGCCGGAGACAGTGATGTGTTCAATATTCCACAGCTGTTTGGAAGCAATACTGCCTGGATCCACGGCCTCGACCTGTCCCCAGTCCAGCAGCATCAGCACCACCTGGGAAGTTAGAAATGTAAATACTCAGGCCCCTCCCCAGACCTCCTGCATCAGACTCTCTGAGATGGGCTCAGCAGCCTCCTTTAACCAGTCCTGTGATGATTCTGATGCAAGTTAAATTCGAGAATCGCGGATCTACAGCTGCACTGTAATACAGTAGCCATTAGTCACATGCGGTCATTTTACTTTATAAATTAATCAGAATTAAATAACTTAAAAACTCAGTTCCTCAATTGCACTAGCCACATTTCAAGTGCTTAACAGCCACATGTGGTTAGTGGCCACGGTTTTGTAAATGCAAACGTAAAACATTCTTCTTCTCGCAGAGTTCTATCAGACAGCCCTGGTCTGGAGCAATGATTTCCTCACCCTTTCACCTGACAGCTCTGTCCACAACTCTGTACCTTCTCTGTCAGCCTAGAAGGAGCTTTGGACCTGGGACTTGCCTCCAGCCTCATCTCTACAATGTTGTCAGTTGTCCCTATGAGAGGTGATTTCCTGGATCTGTCTATATAAGATTGTCTCTCATCTGCCAGTTCTGATCAGCAGATATTGCTGTCTGGAGCACTGTGCTGAGAAGGATCAGGAGGCTGGTGCCAGACTCAGGCAGAAGAACCATGATGTGTCAGCTAAGAGGAGGGGCAGTCGTGGCTGCCAGTGCGTGGTGTCTGCCAGGTTCGCACCAGGTGTGTAGGATGCCTAGCAAGGGGTCATGGGCTGGGGACTTGAGTGACTCTTTTTTTTTTTTGAGGAAGATTAGCCCTGAGCTAACTGCTGCCAATCTTCCTCTTTTTGCTGAGGAAGACTGGCCCTGAGCTAACATCCATTCCCATCTTCCTCTACTTTATACGTGGGACACCTACCACAGCATAGCTTTTGCCAAGCGCTGCCATGTCTATACCCGGGATCCAAACTGGCGAACCCCCAGCTGCCGAAGTGGAACGTGCACACTTAACCACTGCACCACCGGGCCAGACCCTTGAGTGATTCTGATGCTTCGTGGCAGGCCTGGGATCAGGGTGAGGCAAAGTGAGGCACTCACCTTGGAAAACATAAAGAGACACCAAAAACTCTGTAATTAAGATAAATAAAATATTAATGCAATATTGTTAAGGCCAAAATCAATGCAAAAAAAATGCGTGAGGAACAAAATGTCAAACCTTAAGGACCAGCTCCAACTATGCCCCTTTGAAACTGAGGCAAAAAGAAAAATGTGTGCCCCTATCTACATGTTTTATGTAACTTTATTTAAATTTTTGACATTTCATTCATCATGGATCTTTTGGGTGAATTTAGATTTTTAGAAATATGGCTCTAAAATATTATTTATCTTGACGACTGAGGATCTTGGCTGCTCCCCGCCTTACATTTAGCATTTGCAGTGAGGCATGCCCGGAAGTCTAGAAATTGAGAGCTAAATTCAGTGCTCAAATCTTGTAATTAGTTTATCTCAGGCATGTCTGATGGCTTTAGATGGTCTCTGGTCTGTTTTTATCGCTAATTGCCCTGCTTTGTTTAATTTTCAAACTTGTGACTCAATTCTTCTTGGAACTAGCATGGGACATGAAAAAAGCAAGGATCTGACTTCTCTTTGAGATGCAGAGGGAGTGCGGCGGGGGCACGGGGATGGAGGGCAGTGAAGATGTTTCCAAGTTCCCCTCTCCTGCTGTCGTCACAGAAGCGTGAGCTCTCCCGCCACACCTGGCCAGCCCTTGGGGATTCACTGTCCTTTGCTGCCCCCACATGGAAGGAATAGAAACTCCTAGGGAATCTGTTTCAACAGGAAAAACCCAGAACCAAGGAATGGTCAGTGGAAGGGCCCTTGGAGATCACCGAGCTCAACTCTCTCATTTCCTAGAACAGGAGACTGAGCACCAGAGAAGTTGGAAGGGGCTGTGCCGGTGAGTGCATGTGATGGTGTGATAGACAGGCTGTAACTCTAACAGTGATGAGCACCAACTCGGCACTGGCTGCGACATGGCAGTGCACAAAGCAGACCAGTGTTTCTGCCCTGATGGGGTTTTAATTCTAGCGTGAGGTAGGGGTGGGGAGAGAAAATAACAAGCAAGTAAATACCTCATATGTCATTCATGGTAAGTACTTTAAAGGAAAAGAAAGCAGGAGCAGAGAGAGTAGGGAGGGCCAGGAAGGGAGGATGGCCAGGGAAGCCCTTGCTGAGAAGCAAAGACCGGACGGAGATAAGGGGGGAGCCAAGCAGTCATCTGGGGGAAGAATTTACCTGCATCTTATTACTTTTATAAAATGAAGGTATTTACAATTCAGGCATTCAAGGTCCACCTAGTGGCTAACATGCTGTCCCTCAGCTACGTGGTTAGTGAGGGCTTCTTGTTCTTATGACCTCTGGATGTCTCGTTGTCCCATGTTGGCTTCCCAGTTTTCACACCCTGGATGACCAAGTCTCTGTATCAAATTCCCTGCTTGAAATATCTAGGGAGGTTTCTGTCTTCCTGACTGGACCCACACTGACATGATGCTTAACGAGAGTACCCTGCACAGTGATTACATGCGCCCCACCGTACCACGGACCTGCTTTTCCTCTCCTGCCGTGCGGCTCTTTGCAACTTCCTGGCTTGTGTTCTCTTGTAAACCAGCACCACCTCTGCTGCCAGCTGACAGTTTTTGAGTGGGTTCCACGGTGTCCTAGGCACTGATTCCTATCCGCCTGGAAGTCTTGGACGGAGCTGTCCCTTTGTCCTTGCCCCAGACTCCTGCTGGTCCATCAGCACCTCCCAGGCCCCCAGCTGGCCCCTCTAGAAACTGCCCAGGAACTCACCTGTCCAACAGCAGCTTGCTGCTGCCTAAACCGTGTGGGACAGGACCACATGCTGAGTTTCTTAAGTAAGACTTCAGCCTTCTCCACTCTCCCGGCAGTCTTCTCTGCTGCCTCAAACATACCTGGGCATTTTTACCACCTCTGGGTTTCACCTGAAGAGGACAGAAAGGGGGGACATGTCTGTCAGTTGTCCTCCTCCCCACACTCCCCCAGAGTGAAAGACAGAGCTGGCCTTTCCATTTCTGCGTCTTCTCTAGCATGGCCTTCCGCCAGTCACATCCTCCTCATTCCTGAGGGTGGGGGAATCAGGAGAGGGCGTCTCTCTGCATGGTGGAGGCAGGTTTGGTTTATGACCTGGCCTAAAGCCCGTGGCCCTTGCCGGGACTAAAAGATAAAGGAATTTAGAAAATTCTTTCTCTCATGGCAAAGCCTGGCTTTCAAGATTTGTCTTCCTGTGCTTTCAAGACATCTATTCTGGGTTTCAAAACTGAGTGTGGACTGCTTTCTCTCTGCATTCCTGCTGTGACCAGCCTAGTTCCCTCTTGGGCAAATGGGTGCTTCTGCAGAATAGGGGGCAGGGGGAGTGCAAGGCGATGCAAAGGACACTAGTACTTTAGTATATTTCAAAAATACTGTCCCGTTACAAATACCCGCATGTCCTCTCCCTAGAGCATGATGAAGAGCATGAAGCCATGGTCACATCTCCCCAAATATTTCAAAATGTCTAACAGAAGTCAGGTGCTAGCCATGAATAGACTGGCAGGTTAACTAGAATTTCAAGTTTCCTTCTGTTGTCTCACATCATAACAGCTCCTTGTAGTGTGGCTTCCTGCCCCACACTAAGTAGAAGCTCCAATTAATAGTTCCAGATGGATTAAGATCTTTGATGAATAAAAAGTAAAATGAATTCATTGTTGTTTAATTAATTCACTTTTACTAACGAATCTTTCTAAAGGGTCTGTGTTTGGGAGTAAAATACCAAAAGGAAGGTGAAAATATTGGGGACCACTGAATGAGTCATTCACTGAGCACTTACTCCATGCAAAATGCTTTTATGCACATTCTCTCCTTTACATGTTATTTCTGGGCAATGAGAAAAATAAATTTCATTGCAGACCTCTCTCAAACTGATGTTCTGAAAGCTAGACAGTGTAGAATTCTCTGGCTTCCTGAGACTTGGGAAGAAATCATCTCAGCTCAACCTCATTTTGGCTATTTTTCTAAAACTACCCCAGAACTATAAAGTCCATCACTAGATGGAGCAATAAGCTAGATTTTAAAGAAGCAATGAAGAAAAACCTACCCTGCCCCAACTTTCAAATTTCATAAACAACGATGACGTGATAATGCATAGAACCTCGTAATTCACAAACCACTTTTACCTAAAATATTTAGCCCTCATAACACCTCTGTGTTACTATCATTATTCTCATTCTCAGATGAAGAAACCGAAGTTACTAACGTTAATTCAATACCTACTGTGTGCCAGACACTTCAAAATATAAATCTCATTTAATTTGGACAACGACCCAGTGAGTAAGAAATCACTGTTTCCATTTTACAAAAAGGGAAATTAAATCTTAAGGATGTTTGGTCAAGGTCACATAGCTGGTGAGACAAGGCTGAGCACCCACCTCCTCTGACTCCAGGTCTAGCGCATTTCCTCCTGCAACCACATGACATTCCTCAACCTTCTGGGAAGGAGTTCCTGGGTCAGAGCCTTCTTTTGTGCAGTGGGAACTTGGGTCTGCATTTCACAGCCCTTCAAAGCTGCAGAAGGGGAGGACGGCGAATGAGAAAGGAGTGGAAGTTAACATCGCAGCATCAGTGTGTAGAACTCATTAGTTTCAGCCTAAAAAATAATCCCTCCTCCCTTTCAGCCGTCAACAGCCCCGTTTCCCAGGTGTTTCTGAAACGCCTCCTGTTAGTAGTTCTCTACTGCCTGTTGTAGGTAATTGTGGGTAGTTTGGCCCTTTGAATAAAGCCTCATGGGGTGTTCATTATTCTCAACTGAAAATGCTTGTTGGTGGGAGAAGCTCTCTCTTTACATTGTAATTTTACCCCCTCTTGGCCCTGAATCCCTCTCACAATATAAACTGTATTCTAGATAACAGGTAATTAATAAGTATTGCTGAATAAATGATTATTACTGAAATAATATCATTTATGTATTTCAATACATAATATTTCAGTCAATTTCAATATTTCTTATTCAATACATAAATATATTTCATGTGTTGAAATATAGGAGTGGATGGTATTGTTTCTATTTGAAGCAATTAGTGAGTCAGCAAATAGCATTAAACTATAAGGAACACTGGTTATTATCATAAAACGTACTTTCAGTAGTCCTTCTGTGATTTGGCCACCTTGTGGATTATTCTAGAAATAACAGTTATAGTGACTTCTGTGCCCAGAACTCTTTAAGTGAAACTGTCCTCACATAGTCTCCATTGCCCAGACGGCTTATGGCCTGGTCACAGCTAACTGGACCAAGGTGGACACTCCATCAAAGACAGCCACTCATAGGCGAGCTGGTATCATATCTCTAATATGATTTGGTGCAAAACACTGAGTTGGGTCTAGTTATTTAAACTTGCGTGCAGTCCTTTCTGCTTGCTAGGGGACGAGGTGGTGGAGGAAAGTTGGCATAAAGTAGCTGATATCTGTGTTACGTGGATATTTATCCTACAGCTGTTTAGTATACATTCCAGGATTCCTGGTTGGGAACCTATGTCTTGAAAGGGACAGGGAGAGAGAACTAAAGAGATGGAGTGAGCTCCAGGGAGCCCTCACCTTCCAGGGAGGTGACAGGGCTCTCTGGTGTCAGGCAGGTGACTGTGCATCAGGCTTTAGCCCTGAAGCTTCCACAGACGAAAGTGAGGATCTGATCCACAGGGGAAGGAGCCCGGGCAAGGAGCTGGAGGGCCTGTGTTCGAGTCCTCACTCTGCTCATTGCGGGATGTGCGTCCTTGGACAAACATGTATGTGGATTAGCAATAAATTAATAATAATTCCTCTAGATGTCTGATTTTCAAACTTTAGTGTATGTAAGAATCTTTGAGGAGCTTGTTCCAAATGTAGGTTTTTCAGGATCCACCCCACAGAGATTCTGCCTCAGTGGTTCTGGAGTTTTAACCACCCCCCGGGGGAATCTCACTCAGGCAGTCCATGGGCCGCATCTTGAAAATACCTGCTCTGGATGAAGGAACTGAAAATGGGAGACAAATCCAGCCCAGTTGGTGAGCCTCTTTTCTGGCTGCTCAGTTGGACTGTGGCCACGTGGCAGCAGGCTAGAGAGTCTGCATATCTGGAAGCCCCGGTCGCTTAAGGAACAAATGCCAGCCTGGCATCGGGAAGGGTCTTCTCATCTCCCCGAGCATCATGGCTAGGTGGGAGAGGACAAACCTAGGAAGGAACAAGCCGGCCAAACAGAAGGAGAGGTGTTGAGTACTTCTTGAGAAACCAGACATGGTTTCCTCTCCACGGATATGGTCTGGAGACTTTATAGTTTGGGGGTTAAGCTGACAAATATGGGGAACAAGAGTCCCAGGTGGCTGAAGGAGTACCTGCTCAAAGTGCAGAAGGACAGAGAGGCAACCCCAGGCTGGATGGTGATGAGAGAGCCCTATGCCCTGAGCAGAGAGCTGGTTAGGGTTAGAGCTATGGAGAGAAGAATTCACTCTCACTCAGAGATGGCTAAACAAGGTTCAGGACCAACCTAAGAGATTCCTTGTGGCATACTGTAGGGTCTTGTGACTTGTCCCAAGATGTTCAAATTTTTTTTTTTTTTTTTGAGAACAGGCTATAAAGGGCAGTCCCGTGATATTTGCAGTTGACCATGAATTGAAAGAATTGCAAAGATAGGGGCAGGGTCCGAATGTGTGATCAGTTGAGATGATGGGTTGAATTTAACAGAATAAAATCTAATAGGAAATAAGTACATGAAAAGATGCTTAACATCATTAGTCATCAGAGAAATGCGAAGCAAAAACCATCATGAAATGTTTCAACCCCACTAATGTAGCTAAAATAAAAAAGACAGACAATAACAAGTGTTGATGAGGATGTGAAGAAATTTGGAACTCTTACACACTGCTCGTGGGAACATAAAATGGTGCAGCTGCTACAGAAAACAGTCTGGCAGTTTCTCAAAGGTTTTACGTGGAGTTACCATGTGACACAGCACAGCAGTTCTGCTTCTAGATACATACTCAAGAGAACAGAAAACATGTATTCACACAAATATCCGTATAAGAATACTCATAGCAGCATTATTTGTAATAGCGAAAAGTGGAAACAACCCAAGTGTCCATCAACTGATGAATGGATAAACAAAATATGGTTATTTGGCCGTAAAAGGAATGAAATTTTTTTTTTTTTTTGGAGGAAGATTAGCCCTCAGCTAACTACTGCCAGTCCTCCTCTTTTTGCTGAGGAAGCCTGGCTCTGAGCTAACATCCGTGCCCATCTTCCTCTAGTTTATACGTGGGACGCCTACCACAGCATGGCTGCCAAGCAGTGCCATGTCCGCACCCGGGATCCGAACCAGCGAACCCCGGGCCGCCGAGAAGCGGAACGTGCGAACTTAACCGCTGCGCCACCGGGCCGGCCCCAAAGGAATGAAATTTTGATACACAAAAGGATAAATACTATGATTCCACTTAAATGAAATGCCCAGAATAGGCAAATCCATAGAGACAGAAAGTAGATAGATGGTTGCCAGGGGCTACAGAGGAGAAAGAATGAGGAGTGACTGCTAATGGGAATGGAATTTTTTTCCTTTTTTTTTTTTTAAAGATTTTATTTCTCCCTTTTCTCCCCAAAGCCCCCCCCAGTACATCGTTGTATATTTTTAGTTGTGGGTCCTCCTAGTTGTGGCATGTGGGACGCCACCTCAGCATGGCTTGATGAGCGGTGCCATGTCTGCACACAGGATCCGAACTGGCAAAACCCTGGGCCACCAAAGCAGAGTGCACGAACTTAACCCCTTGGCCATGGGGCTGGCCCAGGGAATGGAATTTCTTTTTCTTTTTTTTTTTTTTGTGAGGAAGATTAGCCCTGAGCTCACGTCTGCCATCAATCCTCCTCTTTTTGCTGAGGAAGCCTGGTCCTGAGCTAACATCTGTGCCCATCTTCCTCTACTTTATATGTGGGATGCCTACCACAGCATGGCGTGCCAAGCAGTGCCACATCCGTACCTGGGATCCGAACCAGGGAACCCCGGGCTGCTGAAGTGGAATGTGTGAACTTAACCACTGCATCACTGGCCAGCCCCTGGAATTTCTTCTTGAGGTGATGAAAATGTTCTGGAATTAGATGGTGGTGATACTCTGTAAATATATCAAAACCCATTGAATTGTACACTTTAAAAGGGTGAGTTTTATTGATATGTGCATTATATCTCAATAAAGCTGTCATTTAAAAAACACTCAAAGAGGAAATAACAACTTCCATTAAAAAATGTGATAAGAGGGGCCGGCCCCGTGGCCGAGTGGTTAAGTTTGCAAGCTCCGCTGCAGGCGGCCCAGTGTTTCGTTGGTTCGAATCCTGGGCGCGGACATGGCACTGCTCATCAAGCCACACTGAGGTGGCGTCCCACATGCCACAACTAGAAGGACCCACAACGAAGAATATACAACTATGTACCGGGGGGCTTTGGGGAGAAAAAGGAAAAACATAAAATCTTTAAAAAAAAAATGTCATGAGAATAAATACATGGTCCTGCCTTTGGGTTCAAAAAATAACTGGGCTGAGGTGGCCATCTCTTTTTGCCTGGCCAGCCTCCATCTCCTTTTAGGTGACAGCCTCTGGTTTCTGTGGAGAACCAGCTTCGTCCTTGTGGTCCTGTTGGGAGTATTATTCACAGGGCTCCTTACCTCCCACAAAGGGGGCAAACGACCCGAGCTCAGCCAGATGAGACCCTGAGCCGAGTGTCTCATGGAAGATGTTAGGTCTGACTCCTGCCCAGGGCAGCACTTGAAAGTTCCAGCTGAGACCGCTGGAGATGGCTCCATTCCTGTGCTTAGTTTTGGGCACCGTCTTCTAATACACTTCTTTTCTGCCTAGATTAGCTAGAATGGGTTAAACAAGAGTTGCTTGCAAAGGGAAACCTCAACCTATACAATGACTTAACGTGGCTTAGCAGCGGCACATGCAAAACATCCAGGAGTTTTAGCATCAATGTTAATAACAGCAACTAACATTATCGAGCACTTCTGGGGGGCTGCTGCTGTGCTAAGAACTCTATATGCTTTTTCTCATTTGATTCAACCCACCCAATGACTGTAGGAGGTAGGTCCTATCTTGGTTCCACTTTACGCATGACGAAATGAAGCACAGAAAAATTAGGTAAATATTCTGAGGTCCTGCAGCCAACTGTTGGAATCAGGACTCAAATCCAGGTCTCCCTGACTCTGAAACAGTGCTCCTAGCCACGGCCATCTACTGCCTCAACAGGAGTCAGCATTGTGGATGGATGCCCAGAGCAAATGGGACCTCAGGCCATGACCGGAGAAGTTCAAGGTAACAAAGCAAGTCCTACTGTTCTCCGGCAGTGGTCTCAGAGGTAGGGCCTGGACCTTAAGATGCTCTAAGGCAGAGTTCTTAACCCTGACTGCATATTGGAATCAGCTGGGGAGCTTTAAAACTGCTGATGCCTGGATCTCACCCTCTGATGTAATTGGTCTGGGTTGCTGCTGGGCCATGGGATTGTTTTCCAATTTCCCAGATGACTCTAATATGCAGCCATGGATGCCAACCTCCATTTTTTCAAACTTTAAAGGGCATTCTATGCACCTGTGGATGTTATTGACCTTCCGATTCTGATTCAGATCTGGATGGGGCCCAAGAGTCACGTTTATAACAAGCTCCA